GTGCCACCCGCCCGCGCCGCCGTTTCGGGGGACCTGCAGTGGCTCTGCTGGGGCTCAGCCCACTGAGGAGGTTCAACATAAACCTCTTGCCTAAACACAAGTAAATTCGTCAGCTGTGCTTATGACTCAGAACCTGATTCTGCCGCTTTTATTCATGTCAAGTAGCAAGCTGGTTACGGTGTATTTTACCAGCTGGTTATGGACGTATAATTCAGGACGCTGTTGTGAGCTGTTCCAGATCTATGAAAGACACTGAGGACACAGGGTTCAAAGTCCTGAGCTGCTTCTAAGATGAGGACCCGGGCTATAACCTGCCTTGTTTGGTCTGAGACGGCAGTAGGTGCAGCAGGGGCCACTTCGCCCGTCTTCGGCGTTTCTGCAGAACAGGATTTACTGTCGTCCACTAGATACTCAGAATTGCTTTCTCACAGGGTATTTTTACGTATCCTATTTTTATGTATTTACAAACAAACAAACAAAACTGCTTAATGCATCCTATACTGATGGCTTTTCAGCCTGCCGCTTCTACTGTTTCTAACCAGTGTCCCTAAGTTCTCCAGCTGGATCGCTGAAAGCAATGTTAAAAGATTTAAAGTGCATCACAGTGTATTTACTTCGGGCTGTTTGACCCCCTTATTTATTTTGCTGCCTGGAAACAGCTGCTTCCTTTTAACTAGGTTTAAAGTGGGCCATTTGCTTTGCAGACTGTTTGTTTTTAAAGATCAGTGTTTTTACTTGAAGTTAAAGTTCCTTTTTTTTGGAAGTAATTGTATCACCAAACTGGAAAGCATTTCACAGGTCATGGAAAAAGGAATTCTATGGAGAGGAGAAATGATAAAATTCTTTGGGTTGATTGCACACAGTTTGAGAGAGGCCTCTGGCTGTTTAATTCTCACAATTAATGAAAGATGAAGGAGGACAATAACAATCACCCAAAGGTCGTGCTGAAACAAGGTCATGCAAAATGGTTCTGTCCATGTTGCCAAACCCGGAACCTTCTTTTGTTTGGCTGCAATACAAAGTGTTGCTGCCCTGGTTACATTGCTGTGTAATAACCATATCTCCATATCAGTTGATAATGTATCAGCAAAAAGAAGCTTAAGTGGTATTCTGATTCATACGCAATGGAATAAGGTTATATGCAGAATGTCGCCTGCATCATAAAGCTTAGATTAGTATCATCAGGTCAGCAAAAACCTATAACAGAACTGATTTATATTGATAAGTATTCCCACTGTAGTCCGAAAACTTTCAAAAATTTCATAATAACATTCCGTGTAAAAGTGTGTGGGGAAAAGAACTCTTAGTTAGTTAGTTAGTTTTGTGTGTATTGGTTTTTATTGGTAATAGTAATTTTGTCTTTTTGTGTATTGTCATGCTCACCTCTGAGCTTATACATCTCTTTGTGAAAGTGTGGAATATTCTCCACAGAGAAATAGAGGAGCCCCCCTGCAAGCTGCCCAACAGAGGGAAGGGTGCCTGGACACTGTCTTTCTGGAGTACTTGTTTCTTTTAAGAGAGAGACGGTTGGGGATCCTCAAGGAGTATTGCCATGAATTCAGATGATTTAGTGATTCAATCCAAACTGAAACATGTTTCTCCTCCTTTATATTCAGATCAATCTATGGAGTTTTCCAGGGCAAGCAGGATGTGAAGGGCATCACACTCTATCGTTTCACAGTTCCTCGTGAAGCATTTGCATCGCCTGCCGAAGTCAGAGATAATTATTGCTTCTGTACAGATGAAGTCATATCAAAGAACTGCACAGTAGCTGGAGTCCTAGATATTAGTGCCTGCAAAGCAGGTATAGTAGTGACACGGTACTGCCAAACAAACCATTTAAGTGGGGACAAAGCACGTGTCCTGTAGCTGAGGTGTTAGTCTAAGATCCAGGACGTCCGTGTCGGTCTGTGAATTCTCCCACAGATTGCCTGTGAGACCATTTCCCGAAGCGAGGACTGTAATATTTCTCTATTTTGCATAATGCTATGCAAAAGCGTGATACTCCAGATTGTATACTGCAACTGCAGGAGTGCACGTACAGCAGGTACAGAAGAGGATTCTATAGGCACTGTATAAAAGGCAGAGACAGTCACAGTCCTTGCATTTGTGGTAGCTCACACGCAGCGTGTGTGTCTACACAACTAACTACTCATGCGGAGATTGAGAGACGCTATTGGTTAAGGTTCGCTCTGGTTTAATGAAATAAATATATACGGAACCTGCGTTGGGTGCCGAGTGGACAGCATGGGTTCCCTTCAGGCTTCTACTACAACAAGATCATGAGGGTGGGGGGAAACAGTAAGAGTCAGGTCCTCATTCCAGAGTGAAACTGGGAGCACTGCCAGCTACACAGAGCGGGGATGGCCAGACAAGCAGGCTTTATAACTACAACTTATTTCAGCAGGCGAATTTTCCTAATGACAGCAGAATCACAGGAAGTGATTTTTTGGAGGGTGGGACTATTAACATTTTTATCAGGATTGTTTGTCCATATAAAAAAAATATGTTTGCCTGGAAAACGGCCTCAGAAGATGAGCACTGAAACAAGGCTTACTGATTCAAGCGAGTTTGGTTTTTTTTTTTTGAAATAGGAAGACCAGTATTTATCTCTCTTCCGCATTTTCTTCATGCAAGTGATTCTGTACTGCATGATGTTGAAGGCCTGAGCCCAAACGAGAAGGAGCATGAGACGTTTCTAGATGTAGAGCCTGTAAGTCCAAATATTTAATAATTGTAAACTTGCGGTGTTTAAATTTAATTGTAGTAGAGTAGGCCTTCTACCCAGGGGGACGAGCAGAAGGTTCAATATTTTCCTGCTTGCTTTTGCAAGATCTGCTCACAAAAGTGTTACGGTTTTAGCAGGGGAAATTTAGAGCAGAATTTTGTCACATTCTGACCTTCAAAGTTTGGAAAATAAGTTTTGATTCTTCCTTATTGGGAATGTAGGACTAAAAAGATTCGCAAACTTTGAGGTATGCTATAGCTTTTCTATTACCTTCAAGTACTTTGAGAAAATTCTTTTCTATGGAGGTTCCTCTGTTCCGTCTATACTAAATATTTTTAATTTTCTATAACTGAACATTTTTTCTATAATTAATTGAATCAATTGAAATTAAATTAAAATAAATTGCAATTAAATAAATATAAAGCAGTTTATTTCAAAGAAAATTGCTAGATGTTTGAACAGACTAGTCTAGAACAGACCAATATAGTCTTTGTGACTCAGATTGTCCAACAGAGCTCACAAACAGAATGAATTTTTGACAGCTCTGATTTTGACTGCCTCCAATTTTACCTTTACTTCTGTTCCAGTGATTCACATTCTTATCTTTAAGTGTATTTACCAAAATTTTCTGAATTGTGTGATGGATTCTAAGGTTTCAAAATTTTATTTTGCTCTGAACTTGGATGAAAAGGTAAAATTCAGGATTTTGTACTAAAATATTTTTAGTCATATAATTTGACAGTTAAGCTATGTAACTTCAATGGGGAGATCTAAATTTAAATCTTTGTTTCACTTTATTTGGAATAGTGGCATCAACCAGAATTTCCTAAACCCGATATGAAATTTTCGAGAATCACACCCTGTCTTATTTTTGTGGAAGACAGAGCAGAAAAGGAGGAGATGAAAAAAAGATCTGACCTTTGTTTTGATATGTTTGTTCTGATATGAAATATTTGGTTTTGGCCCTATGCAAGTTAAACATCTTTCTTATTGAAGAATGAAATTTAGGTAATTTCTGGTGGAAAAAAATCGTAAACCATATTTTTATATTAAACATTTAATGACTGATTTAGTATTTTTAACCTTTTTTTTCCTGTAAGTTTTAATTGCAGATTACAACAATAACTATGATAAAGTCACAAAATCAGAACTTCTGTGAGAAATGAGACCCTTAGAAACATTAAAATTTCATAAAAACCCAATCCTTCAAAACATAAGGATAAAATAATATCAAAGTGCTTTTTGATAAAGTCCATATTCTAGGCTTAGGCATCCAATTCAAGAATTAAAATTAATGTAGGGGTTTTTTTTTCCCCTGGCTTTAGATCACTGGTTTTACACTACAATTTGCAAAAAGGCTGCAAGTAAACCTCCTTGTGAAACCTGCACCAAAAATTGAGTAAGTACTACTTCATTATTTTATTTTTAAAGACTTTTTTTTCAAGAGGGCTGAGTGGTCTATGAAAATGTCAGTAGAAATGAATGGGAAAAGAAGGAATAAAAATACTTTCCTAAAGCCTTTTCACCTTTCTTACCAAAATTTCAGTCATGACTTTTCAGAGAACATAAATTTCATCAAAAGAGGAACTCTTCTTGAGCAAGACGTTGTCCAAGTTTTTTAACACACATTTGATTTCCCCACAGAAGCTTACAAGGCAACATATTTTTAAAAATAACATTCTTACAAAACCCAAATGGGGGCCACAAAGATGAAGTAGAAGGCAAAGTGTACTTTCTGTAATAAATCCAATTAGAGAGAGAGGATTTATGTATTCTCTGTTACTAAATGGATTTTATCACAAGGGTTGATGGGTCTCTATAGCTGTTTTTGTTTTTTCTCTTCATTGGCCCAAATGTACATGTACAGATGTGCATTTCGGGATCGTGTATGTCTGGAAGGTGAACACCACACAGATCTTCAGACCCTCTCACCAACACCCAGCTGTGTCCAACTTTCTTCTTTCTGAGTACCCACATATGGAAGACTAGACAGAAAGAGATGGTTGTCTGATATGTAAAATGGCTGCAATTAATTGCAGGCTTATTTTTTTGAGTCCAAAACTATACTAAGAAGCTACATATGGAACGTAGAAATGTAGTTAGAGGAGAAAAAAAAACGTTTAAGTAGAGACTGGGCTTATGAACCAAACTAAAGGTGACATGCTGTACTTATTTTCTCATTTCAGAGCTTTATCAAAAGTCCAAAAACCTTATATTTTTCCTCTTCTTTGGCTAAATTAGGTTAGTATATTTTCTGACTCTTAATCTTTGCTGTTTAAAAAAAAAAAAAAAAAAAAGAAAAGAAAAACGACCTAACTTTTTCAGTCTTGGTGTCCTGAAACTGGGCAATTAAATTCATGCTGTGATTTGCACATGCCAAGAATATACTCGGCAAGCGAGTGCTTGCATACTTACCTTTCACTGACATTTCTCTTGCACTGTTTCAGTCTGCTGTTATTGGGGATGAGAAAGCAGAAATGTTCAGAAATAAAGTCACGGGCCGGGTCCAGATGCTGAGTGTGCTGCAGATGGTGTTAATGATTGCAGGTTCTGTGCTGTTCCTCGCATTCATGGGTTCCTATTTCATATGCAGATCAAAGAAATTAAAATAAGTAAGTAAGCACTAACGGCTCACTCCTTCCTCAGGGTTTCAAGAACTTCAGAATCATTGTGTATTTAGCTGTTCTTGTTTTTAAGTGTTAGTAAATTCAGCAGTTGTTCTGTGAGAAATTATCCAGATAATTTAACTAATGTTTTCAAATTCTCTTCCCAGCCTTAAACTTTCCGGATGCTCTTAACATGCTCAGGAGAGGGTATTGGGAACTAGATCAGAAGATCAACAGTTTTTTTTATTCCAAAACATAACACGATTGTTGTGAGTTTATGAAAACAGACATTTTATCCATGATTGGTAAACTGTTCAGAAGTGCCCTCTGGTACTTCTCTGGGACAGGGGCCACACAGCTGCAGATTCCTGTGCTCTTCCAGGACATGCTCCTCTCTGGGGTTCAGAGCACCCACTGTAAATTATATTTTTAATCGACTGTTGGATAGGGATTCTCACGTTTTTCTTTTAATCGTGCATGACTCTCATGTTAGCCTAAACATCTCCTGAACATACCTGGCCTGCTAAGACTAAATATACTCCCATCACGGGTAGAATAACCAAGCGGTGGATTAATGCACTGACATCTAGGGAGACAAACATTTTTGGAGTGATTAAAAGAAGTGCAGAGACATGAACGTTATGGTGAAACATATGCTGTCGTAAAGAGACTTTTTTAAGACGAAGACTTACCTCCTCACATGCTGAATTCTGATTTTATTTCGCTACAGGTGACAGGAGACGTCAGAGGTAGTCAATGTTAATTGAAATTTCTGCCAAGCAGCATGTTAAAATTCAGAGACAAAAGGTATGATTCAAGACACAGTCAGTCCACATGCTATGGAATTCAACATGCTTTTCCATTTTGAGAAGACCAACTCACTAACCTAATTAAGCTAATGTTTCCAAAGGTCCACACTTCTGACATCACTAAAGAGGCCACCAAGGAAACTATGCTTTCAAATAACTTTGATTATTTGAACCTTGTTACAAATTTTAAATGACATTCGAGCAGACTGATGTTGAGGTTCAGTTGGATTTTAGTCCACCTTCTGCCATTTATGCAACTTGCTACTTTTTTTCTTCTGGGATTTGCAAGACAAATGAAAGCTGTTTGCCGATGTTCTGCCTCTGAGCACAGGCTGGGAATGACACCACCTTTGAGCTCATGCTGTGCTCTAGATGCTCTCAACGCGATGTTTCTTTCTGTTCCTTCAAGGAATGGAAGCTGCTGCAATAGAACTGCTCTCTGTCCTCTATTCAGGGATGTGAGTTGCGTTGAATGTGAATATTATGTAAAGTTACTAACTGTAATACACGAGGTTAATAAAAGACTTACTAAAATATGTGGTTTATACATTTTATATGGAGACGGCTCATAGACATGCAGCAGTCATTCGTATGTTGATGGAGTTCATCAACATTTGGCTCCACAGCTGTTTAGTAATCTGAACCACTCCCTTAGCTCTCAACCTGCTCCATTGCTCTCTCTGCTGCCTCCCGTGTGATTTTCTTTCTGGCTCTTGCTTGAACACCAACCTCTGCCCTACCTTAGCCCCACTTCACCCAAGGCCTCCCTTAGAGAATGATCTGTCACCTTCAAGTTCAAGAGAAAATATTCCAGAATGCTCCGGACACAGGAAACACTGAGAGAATGATTTTGATCAAAGATCAGAGGGTTCCACTTCCTTGCTATAGAAGAACTTAAATGAAAACAGGTAGCCCCAATTCTTTACTGATAAACCATCTGCCACAAGGAAATTTGTGCAACCATTTGTTTAATGAGGTGCATCAGCCTGTAGACAGGTAACAAACACTGACATCTGCATAAGCAGTATACTTTTTCATTTAATGTGAATGCCATGTCTTAGAAATGACAGTCAACGGGGCAGATACTGAGTGTTGTGGTGTCTCTCCTTTTCTCATGGACTCACTGAATTCAGAACAAGAGCCTAAGTAAGTTCAGCATTTTCAAAGATCTCTTGGATCTTTTTTGCTGATAAATGAGAGCTGCAAAGAAAGAAGATCAAATATGGCCAACCTCTCATAGCCTGGTGTTTGGAATTAGTGCTACAATAGACTTTAAACCAGAAGGATTTATCTTGCTAGTAAAGGACAGTATATTTCACCCGGTATCTTTAGCAAGGTATTTTCTTCCTTTGAAAATAAAGGGAAAAACCCAACAGACTAAAACGCTATTTTCTAATCCCACGTTCCTTGTGGAAAAAGTTGTGTGGTTATCAACAGAGCTGATGAATTACAGAAATCCCAAGAGATTATTCTTGAAGGCAAGGTCTACGTGGCACATGGCTCCACCCTCTTCTTACAGCTGTGAGCTGGAAATGCAAAGTAACGGGGCAGGAGGTGTGAAGGAGGCACGGCACTCGAGGGAAGTTCTGCTCTCACTTAAAGAGCCAATGAATTTGATTACTCATGGTGCTCGCTAGTCAATGGAAAATAGGATGTTTCTCTCATCTGTACATTATTGCTGGTGTCATATATGATGCTCTGTTCTCATATGCTCCACCCCTGGCCAGGCCAGACGGGGTTTTGAGCAGTTTGGTCTAACAGATTCTACGATTTTATGATTTTATTAGTCTGGGGACAGTCTGACACAACTGCAAACGTCCCTAGAGTCCTATAGCCTGGTCAAAAAAGTATGAGGACTACTAAAGTCATTAAGTCACCTTCTCCTCTGAAATATGCACAACTCTGCTGTGGTTCAAGATCTGACACCAAGTTTTTATAATAAAACTAGTCTTCTGTGCCAGAATCTAAAAGTGAGATCTTTTCACCAAAGGAACGGCAGCAATGCTCCTGCCATTATTGATGCACTAGCTTTTCAGCTCAGTTTTCTTTGGCTTCAAGTCCATTGTCAGCAAGTTAGTGTATGCTCTACTAGTGTGGTTTAGTGCTATGTGGTGCGCCAGCAGCAGTGATCCAGCAAATCAGGCCGTGATTTTAAATGTCTCAGGGCCCAATTTTGCCAATGCACGCAGATACGTTTGTTCATAAGTATAATCGCATTGATCGCAATGCAGGTTTGGACTTAAACTATGTTCAGCACCTAGACTGCACTTGAATTATAATTAATAGCCATTTTGTCCAAAGCACTGGTTACAGTTTTTGTTAATTCATGTTATTAAGGTTAATATTGAGTATTTGCATTTGTTCAAAGAGTGCAGGGTAATCATTTATTAGAAATGTTAATGAACTTAATACAAATAAAATAAAGCTCAAACTCTTCTTTCTGAGATCATTATGTCTAATTGTAAATAAAATCTTCTGTGTTGGATAATTAACTCCTTGTTTTTCTTTTCTTGGTATTTTGGGTGTATTTTCTTTTCTTAGATATTTATTTTATAAATTGACGGATAAGCGGGTTTACAGATAACCTTGTTACATCATTGCACTACACAGCTGCTTAGAAATGCATATCACATTTCAAGTTGCCACATGATATATGATGAATACCAGCAGCATACAACATGTATGCTCTGGATTACAGAACAGAGGAGACTTTGTGGGCAGAGCTGAGCCACCAGCATGTCTAAGCTGAAGCAATTCTAAAACAATGGCAGGAAATCAAGCTCAGAGAGAGACCTGCTTGCAACTCCACTGGGCTGGAGGTGTTGGCAGGATGGTGTTAGCACATCCAGCAGCACATTACAACATCCTTTGCTGGCTCTGCTGGCCGGGCAGGTCGGGCGGGAGGGGAGCCCAGCTACGCTCGCGCCTCACGTTCCACACACACCCCAGGTCCTTATGGGCGAAAATCACCGGTGAAAATTAGATCTGACCCAGGATCTAACAACCCACATACTTACACCCCAGAGCAGGTGTGCCAGCTCTTGTTCTCTAACTATAATTATGCTTTCAAAGCCTTTCTTAAAACCTGTTCTTCCCACCTAGCCTACCAATGTCTGTTAGAGTAATGTAAACATGCTACTGCAGCCTGAAAAAGATGGAAAATTGATGTCTTCTCTGTTCTTTTAACTGTGAGGCTAGGCAAGGACTTGTTTTTTTCATGGGTGTACACATCAACAGTATGTTAAAAAATAAGAAATTTAATAACCAATAAAATGTTTACAGATTTTTTTTTCCCAGACCAGTATAAAACCAAATACCAAAGAGGCAAATGACTCACTTTTACCAAATGCAAACTGCATTTATAAATAGATGCTATTCATTTTCTATTCCCTGTCCTCTCTTTGCCTACCAGATATCCCTGATGCTCTGTGGTCACACGCTCTCCCAGCAGCACCCAAAGGAGCCAGGGACTAAAAGCCGACCCGGCCAGCAGCAGGCTGGGACCTTTCCCAGCAATACTGTGTAAGGAACGAAACCAAATGCTTTGCAGTAGGCGCCACCCAAAGGGCATACAGTTTTTCACAAGTTCTCCTGCTTCATTTCAGCATGGGCAGACAAAAGTAATGCTGGCTAAAATTCATTGTTTCTTCCTCTGCCAGTTGACATCAGCAGAAATAATTATATCACTTCAAAAGCAGTGTGAAAAAAACATATCCTAAGTGTCTGCTGAATGACAGATTGTCAGATGCAGCACTAAGATAAAAATTTTTATTTCCATTCATATTCTGCAGTATTTTCCTAAGGCCAGGGTTTCCTTTGAGTTTTGTGAATTGTTTTTTTTTTTTTTTCATGAAATATGAGCTTGATGTAACCAGGTGCACCCATATTTTTCAGAACTTTATTTCTTGCCCAGCATCACTTGTATAACACCAAGGATTTGTGGACAAATCAGGATTTACTTATAGCCACGTGTATGCTCTTTTATGTGACTTAGGTTTTGGATGCACCTTAAACACACTTGCAATTTCAGCCCCACTAAAATATTTGTGTGTAGGACTGAAAAAGTGGCATTTCTACCCTTATTTTTTCCTGTTAATTTTTCCAAATGGAAAGCCCACATATGTGAATGCTTCTAAAGGTAAATTTCTCCACTGATACTTTCTTCCATGAGAGGAGCTAAAACATGACTGGCACCTG